ATTTACGCTGATGCTTGAAATTTTTTCATTGGATGTATCTGTACGTGACTGGTAGACGATGGCAGCCAAGCACTGCGTCATTCAAAGCCGAATATATCTCCATAGAGTTTCAACAGCGAGTCACCCCGATGATAGCGAACCGATGTAAGGCTATGTCCACTATTGAATACTTTTACAAGGGAGTTGTGTGTATATTTAACTCCGTTTTTCCCTTCTGTGTTCTCTAGATAATGTAATTATCTGTAACAACGAAAGTTGTTTTCATGGCCCTGTTGTATCAAATTAAATAAAGATATTAATGAATAGACAAATCATGATGATTATCATTATTTGCTAAACTGAAACCGTCGGCTGTGTTTGCAACATGTACATATGACTCGAAACTACTAGATAGAAAAACATCGATAGAATACTATAATCGTTGAGTTGATGCTGTATTTGGAACGTTATATACACTCGATAATGCAGTAATCAACAAACAAACTGCAATGGCAGGTCCTTTCCTTCCGATCGAACTATGTTTGTCACCGGAAGGAATTCGTATATTTGACATTTGATTCCAACAATCTAAAGGCTAGTTCAGTAATAATGTCGTATAAGGAATGGTTTGATCACCACTGCTTTTGTTTAATTCACGTTCATCCAGGAACCCCAAGACACCCCGGAAAACAACTGTTGCACGTAATCTCGACTACTTGTACGGTGGACATGGCCATCCAGGTGAGGTGTTCGGACCGCCCCCCTTTCCGCCCGCGCACCTCACACGAATTTCCCCCGTCTACTGCCCTGACGAAACCGATACAGTTAGTACCGCCGCTGACGATTCCGCGGTAAGTCTATCTGGTATATACAGCTAATTATTATCAGTGACCATTGATGCTCGATTGCCAAGTCATCTTGGCTACCCAACGAAAATATTCGCCTAATTTGCATGCATCAACCTAAAAAATATCGGTAGTTTTGCACTTTTAGGTTTAGCATTCCATGTAAATTATTCGACATCGATGTAGACCAATACCAGTGCGCACCGACAGTCCGTGGCATAATTCCTTTCTAGGTGCTCCATAAGAGCTACAAACGAGCCTGGGACAACCTCAAAGTTGACATCCAGGACGAAGGCCAGCGGCGCGACGACTCTTCAACGGATCAGTCAGGTTTCAGGCGGCCGAAAGGGGCCTGGACATACGCGCCTGTTACACGACCGAACGACTGCTAGCCGTCCCGAACGGTTTGGATCGAACACGGTTACGTCTGCGACAAAGCCGTATAACCTGTTACATCTAAATTTGCTACGCAGACAAAGCTAAGTATCATTGGTTGAATCAAATATCATCATGACGGAGGAGTTGGAGCTGAAAATCCGTCTGGAACGCGCACTTCCAGCTCGTTTCTCTCAGCCATCGGCGTTCAGACCGGTCTTTAGGCATCCAAACGACCTGTAAACACACATGCAGCAAACACAGCAAAACTATCATTATAAACCTGAACATGTTCATGTTCAACAAACGAGACAACTAGATTCTAATATATTTATATGGCTGCCACGCCCATGCTGGAGTAGATGCAACATTTGGACAAATACTCAGATGACTATCTTTATGAATACCTGAACATGCATTGATGAGTACTTAACACCACGAAAATATGACGCAAAACAAACTAAGTTCACCTTAAGGTTTTCGCATATAAAAACATTGGCAACTGACAGGTCAGTGTCCGGTTTAGCGATTACTCGACACGAAGAAAAATTCTACGGAGCAGAAATTACTATAAAGCAAAGAGTATTGTTTTACTAATGCATACTATGTACGGACAACCTTTGAAATTCGGACGGTACAAATATCTAGAGAATGACATGGACCAAGACGCCGATAGCAAGGGAAGGTCAAATTGTAACGATCGCAACGATTCTGATAGCTACTTGCATGTGTATACATGAGTAATCTGTGGGTAGATAGAAAAGCCCATGCCCGAAAACTCAAAAGCGACAAGCACATCTCACATATTTATTGGACCCGTTCAGCAACAGGTTCAAAGCAAAACGGTCCGTGGAACGCTAGGATCGTCCTGTAGATAAAGTATGATTAGGTAGTCATGTTCGGACACGTATGGATACATATATGCATAGAGAGGAGAAAAGGTGGGTAAAAGATGGCTCAAAGGAAAGCAAAAGCGAGCAGCTAGATAAGATAAATAATGATTTTATCGATGTGGGAAAGCGGAACGGAACTGCGTGAGGACAGGAAAAAATTATGGACGATTGCGGCTCGAACAGATACTGGTTGTCTAGTACAAATCAAAAACAAAAAAGATATACGAAATTTGTGAATTTAGGATCAAACCGATTATATCGCCGCTTCTTTGACCGGTGTATGCGGTAAATGTTTTTTTGGCAGGAGCAATAAATACTAGGTAATATGGTAAATCATGAAACGTTACAATAGCAAAATAGCAAAACGCATGATCATGACACGATTATATTTGCCTGTGTATAAACGATAATAACATTGACTACTATACTATTCAAACACTAATAATAAAATGTATGATGATCAAAAGAAACGACTTTTGTATTTTGCCGTCGTCTTTTCACAATCCGCCATTAAATAGCCGCGTGTGAGGATTAGACTAGGTCCTCTCCTGGAAGTTCTACTTTTTTTAGCGTGATATCTGGATACTTCAAGGTAACTTTGTACAATTGACAGCCGATGAAAATTTTATGGTCGAAACCCACATAATGCATCACTTGTCTGCAGGTATTTAATGAATTGAATGGAGTTTCGCAGTAATGACCACAAGAACAACTGTCCAGGTAGGATGTAATAATGACCGATACAAAAAATAGAACTGGGCGACTGTCTAACCGCAAATTTTTTCAGATTAAATATAATTATGTGTGTTGCCCGTATTATAAAGTAGTCGCGTTTTCTTTAGTAAGGGATCATATTAAAGCAAAGGAAACATATATATATATATATATCTTAACAAAACTAGAGAGCCAAAAAACAAACAATGAGTGTAACTCCATAAAAGCAGTATACAGGTTCTTAGTTTTATTAGAGTCAAAATACTCACTCGTCATTTTCTCGTCACGTCTGTCAATCTGTCAATCATTAGATACTCCAATGATTCAATGTTCGCGATTACACAGTGACTGGCTGATATGTTCAGCTTTGCTGCTTTGTTCATATCACACCTTGCCCGAAATATGGGGGCGTTCACCTTCAACGCTTATTCTAGTTAACTTTCACGCTCTAGATTAGAAAATATTAGTTTTCCAGCATGGACTGTACCGTTTTCTATTCCTTTTTCTTTTTCTTCTTTCTCTCAGTGCTTTATTTCAGCGAATTTATAATTTTATATTGCACATATTTGTACCTTTTTCATTTGATCGCCTTACCAGATCGTCTTAGGTTGTCCACGTTTTCGACCTCTATACACCTTCACAGGTCACCGTCTGGATAGCTCGCTCCCTTTTAAATTCATGGTTACAACATTACTTCCAGTTTGAATCCGAGGTTTTGCTTCGGAACTGAACTTTTCGTCGAATATCTATTTATACTTTCTATTTATATTTTCGTCAACTGTCTTAAGCTTTGTATTAAATACAGATCTATTGAAAATCGTGTGGGATCTCATCTCCTTCAGATTTAATCTTATTTTAATGTGACACCGTTGACGGTTATTTAATATAGTCTTTTGCCTTTGTCTAGGTCTTTCAATTAGGTTTGCGTCTTTATCGATTGTCCACGTTTTCTCTAAACACTTTAGCACACGTGTGTTTGGACCGATTTGCTAGTTATTCTAAGCGTATATTGATTCCCAGAGCAACGCAAACAACGGGCTGGCGTACAATAACAATAGAGTGAAGGTATGGACTTGAGCCCATGTTTGTCTAAAGCTTTATTTTTCTTCTATTACCTTGGTATTCAAATATATGTATAGCGCACCATAGCTTCATTTTTGTAGTGCGCGGTTCAGCAAACTATAATAATAGTAATAATCTCAGCTCTACCAAATATAGGCTATCTCCATTCGACATACCACGCCTTCACCATCATACATCTATTGAAATAGTAAACAGCCTCCCAATAAATGTTTTATGGCGCTTTGTAGCCCTAACTATTATAGTCTATATTATATAAAAGTCGGTCGGCCTTCCGATATATATATATATATATATACCATACTTCTATTTAATAAAATTACTAAAGTCGCTTTTAAGTTGAATAGTAGGCTGTTTTGGCGTGATTATCGGTGTAGGAACCTGGGCTCTAGCCTGAGCTGCGACCTGGCGTGACTTAATGAGCCCTTCTAGCTGTTGCTTCAATGCAGGGCTTTCTCCAAGTATCTTTTTTAGATCGCCGCCATAAGCCGATAAATTTGAGGTAAGAATATCGATAACAGTCTGAGTGGACAAGGTTTTCTTGACTGCTAAGCTAAGAAGTATCGTGACGAGAATCTTGAGAATCGATAGCTTATGCTCTGCGGAAGTTACTTCTAAAAGTGTCTGAAGACACGTGACGCATTCAAGACTTAATGATGCATCCTGCGTCTCCAAAAGTATGCCATAGACTTTTTCCGACCACTGCCTAATGAACACGTTACGTTTCGTGTGGCCAAATATATTGCGAATGCAACTTACAGCCGTTCGAACAATAGTTATATCGTCACAATCAAGCGCGCGCTCGTACAAATCAAGCACCTTTTCCTGGACGCTGGCGACGCTGGTGACCAGCGTAGGAGCTGCACAGATGAAAATTGCGACCGCCAGAAGAATCGAGGACGCTCGAGGTGTCTGCTTAAGGATTTCATCATCGCTGCAGCCGACTAGCATATAATGTAGGGCGGCAGTAAGGTTCTTGATGTATTTTTTCTTAAGGTCTGGCTGTTCATCGAAGGTTGTGATCGAACACATGGTTCGTAGACTCTGCAAGATGCAACCCCCAATACAGCCTTCAAGAAGAAGAGTGAAATTGATGTGCAGTATCGATGGCAAAACCTCAACGGCAAGATCAGGTTGAAGCATCTGCTGGACGGCGTTCAAAAGCATGACAGCCCGTTGAAGATCAGACATGTCGTTTACACTAGGATCTAGCTTAGGAACAATATTGGACAGTTTCTCACTTAAGGATGGGCAATGAATAACAGCGGTACATAAGGAAAGGTTCAGCAAACTGTAAGCTGGCCCAGAGTTTTCTGCCGAGGGCATGGCCATCAATTTTCGGGCGATTTCGTGCGCAATGTCTAATACGAGGCTTCGACAGGCCGTTTGTGTCTCGGTGATTAATGTACGGTGCAAGATGCTGATGAGCTCGACGAGACTGCCTTGCTCTATGTACGAATCGCATAACTCGTGCCTAATCAACAGATTGAGACTCTGCAGTGCAAAAAGCGCATATTCACTCCGATTGTAGAGTGCCTCAGAACACACCGCATACAAAAGACAGAACCATCGCTTTGTAGGTTCCTCATTTGATTTCGGCAGCAAGAAGCTTTGAGGAACCTCGGCGTCTTCAGAATTGCGCCTGCGTATGACCTCAAAGCCATTTTCCTTACACAGCCAAAGGCAAACAGCGTGCAAGACTGGTGGCCACGACTCGCGATAGTAATGTTTGCAATGTTCCGCAACCTCGTGTGTGAAAAACGCTCCTCCGTCATGCGGAAGCTGTCCGGCTAGCGAACTGGGCAGGCTTAACATGGCATAATCCTTCATGAACGCTAGCCAGTATTGTGACAAGTGGTGGATATCAGGCTCGATTAAAGAGAGCAAGCTAGGGTTGACTGTTTTACCGCAAATGTACATTTCGGCCCAAGCCTTCAACACTGAGAGGATTTCAAGTGAGCTAAGCTCGCCCTTGGCCGATGGACGTGCCATAACTTTATAGAGAGAATTAACTAAAAGGGTGTGAACACGCTGAACAGCGGCTAAATTATTAGAGACTGCCGAGCACATCCAAGTCGAGCATACGTGACACGCAAGAGCGATCACTTCAGAAGGTGTATCTCCGGCTGAGAAGGCGGGTCGTAAGGCCGCGTCAACCTGCGCTTGGAACTGCTCCAGTATCATGTGACCTTCAAATTCCGGCTCAGGCACATCAGCGAAGCGATCAATAACCATTTGTAGTAACTTCAGGCCTGACACTGTAAGTTGTATCGCATCCGACGTGCACGCCATGAAAGCCATTCGTATAAGTTCTGATACGTGTAGGATAAGATAGGACTGTTTCTGGCCCGACGATTGAAAGGACGCTTGAGCTTGTCGAGCCTGAAAAAAAACAATGAAATCTTTATCATTTTTAATACTAATCGTTCTAGACGTGAACAACTAAAATAACCATTCCAGAATTGACTCATAACTATCAACGTTTTCTTCAACCGCAGTAATTATTTACATTAGAAATAACTTCACACATATATGAAAGCGCTCGGATAAAATGTTTTGTTCAACGAAAGCACCAAGTGCAACGGTTTTTAGATATTTACTAATGTCATGTTGAAGTGAGTTCGGTCACCGTCGCATAACTGCACTAGTCGTATGACACATTCGAGAGCAAATGCTTTGGTCCTCCATCGCGGTCCTACCCATGGATGCGGATCGGGCTCCTGATTCTGCTGGAATTGTTGTTCCGCATCTTCGGTGTCGCCTTCCTCAGTGCCACTCAGGCCTGCGTTGGCCAGCTTGCTGTCACCACCGTCATCACCATCGCCGCTAAACATAAGGAAAGAGTTTAAGTAAACAATGCAATGAAATGGAATTACATCGAAACAGAAATTCGTCTCTACATAGAACAATTCCCATTTAATTGTTTGATGGACAGAACATCTTTCTTCTTTAATATCAAGCTCAGAGTCAATTTGCACAAAATAGCCGTATTAGCCAGCTACGGCCAGCAGCATCAACAGTTTTGCGCAATTCGTATTAACTTACTCGATAGCGGTGTCAGCGAGCACCTGCTTACAAATGGATAACCAGTCTGCGAGACAAGAGAGTGACAAGAGTGAAACGAGTATATCTCGTAACTGAGCCACGGCCCGTTGTTCCGTCTCAATGTCCATAAGACTAAATGCCACGAGAATCAATCCGCGTTCCCATGGAAGACCTCGAACGTCATCTTCAACCTAAGGAAGCAACGACATTTCTTCATTTTCAACAGAAGCTACCAGAGTTCATCTTCAACACGCAGTGAAGTCTAAGTGTATATCACGTCATGCACAGATGTGACAACAACCTACGTTTCACAAGCTCATTCATCTATAAGGGAATTTGTATGTTATGAACATTATCGCGGCGCTATGAGTAGTACACAGAGTATAAGACAGTACGAATAGAGATCATGCCTGGCTTACAAAGGGTAATGTAGTATCTTGTAGCGGAGGATTATCCGCGATCCGGTAGAAGATGTCCATAGGGTCTCGTTGGAGGAACTGCCTTAAACATGCTATGGCAGAGTGTCGAAGGGTAACATGTTCGCTCTCCAACGAACTCTGCAAATTCACACAAAGATAAACAAATGTTAGTTTCGAGGAAGTCAGAGATCAGTTGAAAGCCAAACGTTACTAATTTACCATCTGACCTTTTTCCTTGACAAGAACTCAACCTGGAAACACTCGTTATTTCGACATCTATATGCATGAATCGAAACAACGAAATACACCACCACTAAAGACAATATGCGTTTTATTTGTGCTATCAGCTTGGGCCTACACGAAACATGCGTCACTTTGTGGGACCCCAATCGGCAGACTTTAGCCGTCTGAGCCACTGCGCTAAATCGGGACTTATACAATAGTACTAAGCTCCCATACTAAACAAACAAAAACACGCGCTATGTACATGTCCACAAAGTATACATATCAAATGTAAGATTTTACTACGTACGCATAAGAAGGATAGAATTGGAGCAATACTGATATCCTTGGGAGCAAAAAGCTGAAGTTGCTGCAACGCTCCCAGAGCTTCTGATTTGACTACGGGGTCGGAGTGATTTTGAAGAACTCGGCATCCAATCCGTAGGTTGCGTGTTGAACTTTCCAAAACTTGTAACTCGGGTCCCAAAGTGCCTGTGAAAATAAAGACAGGCGCATGGCAAATAGAATTTACACCTACCCTTATTTATTTGTAGCTAACATGATTTTTCGTGTGTTAAATCGACACATGTGGTTCTCGCAGAAAATCATATTTTAAATGTTATAAAAGAAACGCTTTCTAGGAATCAATTATGCTATCCACTTGTCAAAGCTAAAGAGAAGCATTTGCCCGAATGAATGGTTATGACGGAAATCGTAGTGCGATCGAAGCACACTGACTATATCCGACAATTTTTCTATTACATTTAATAAGTTCTGCGCATTGTGACTTGCTTTCGATCGCGACTACATAAAATCTAATCAAAGCTTTTAATTCACTCCACTGATATACACCACTTAAACAACCCGACAAACAGCATAATCACTACGGTATAATATAGATATTTAATTACCAACCAATAAAAGTCTGAAGGCATCGCCCAAGGTTTTGGTGCACCTCGATGTTGGCGCTAGGTGTACTCAGCATCATTTGCAGCACTACTGAAAGTGCTACGTCGACGTGTAGACGGAATGAGCTTCCTGAATATGCCAGCAGATTCAGGCCGAAGAGTGCCCAGTTCTGCAACATGACCGACGAACTATCCTGACTCATTTGTAGAAGCACCTTAAGGCTAACAGTAAAATGCTGTGAATCGGACATATATCCTGCCGTGTAACGATGTAGATATCCCAGAGCCAAAGCATGGCCACTTTTCGATACAGGATCCTTGCCATTTTTCAGCACCTCCATTACCTTTGTCCAAGCGTCATTGACCATTTGATGGCTACTCGAGGCTACTGCCGTATAACCCATTACTTCGGCTGCTGCATGACGTACAAGCTCGCTTTGACTACTGAAGGCAGGTATACTGAGATCTAGTATACTTTTGGACACTTCCGGGCTTGCAAGGTTCGAGTGACTTTTGACTAATGACTTTATTGAGACATACAGACTAGCCAGTACGTTCGTATAGACCGAGTCAACCCTTTTACTATTATGTCGTATACAGTCAGCAAAATGCAGTACCACTTGCTGACGATGCTTGTCTGGTACATGAAGGAACATGTATCCGAAGAGGTCGACTGCGGCATCAATCAAGCTCACTCCAAGCGGAAGAGGTTTTCTTTGAATATTGTGATCACATTTCCGGTAAAGGTACGTCAAATCGTGCTCGAGAGCTCCGTCAGCATATACCGCCTCTTCAATCATCTTATGTTCTTCTTTGACATAAAATTTATTGCTCATATACTTGATTTGCAATCTGGATGTTGTTGTGGTTGACTGGGCATGATCGGCTAATGTAATATCGGTAACAATTAATTTTAACAGTGCATTATAGCTTGACTCGAACATAGCTGGCGGGATTTGTAGAAACACTTGATACAACCGGAAGCGCACCATGGCAGCGGACGCTTTTAGTGGCGGACCATATTGTTTGATAACTTCAGTGAGGTTCGACACCATAAACAGCGCACTCTCGATAGGCACCAATAATCGACGCATAATTTCTTCGCTGGCAATTTCGCGACAGTGGCTTAAGAAGCTCGACATCGTAGCCAGAGCACCTGCGCGATTTTCTAGCACGCACTCCCACGTTGTCAGGTCGCCCCGACTCTTCTCCATCGCGAAGTCCTTGTGAGTCCGAGGAAATGAGCTCTTCCAGAGTAGTAACAAACGAGGTAATAAGCTTCGTACTGTGGAAGGCCCTAAACCCATGATTGACCCCATGATAAGCCAACCTGAAATAAAAGAACCCTAATTTTTTTAGCAACAGGTCCCTTTCTTCGACGCCAAATGATGACTTTTAATTTCCCATCAAATCAATTCAAGATTTTCTATTTGTCAGTACAGTTTTACATGAAAAAATCAAGTCTGATTTAGCACTGGGTAGCCTACTGACCTTTGTGGGCTCGCAGAAGCGCAATGCTCGCGTCATTCTTTGCGCTGCGAAGCATTTCTTCAGAGATTGAAAAAATTAATTTGTACTTCCTTAGGTTGGTAAGCTGTGATAATGTGACGTCGCTAGAGCTAAGCATAGCCGCAATAGCACACGAATAACCTACGATGCATGGAGCAGATGATTTCATCACCTCAAACTGATCAATGCAGCGTTGTATCACCGGCGAGAGTAGTGCCGGTTGAGCTTGTGTAATCCATCTGAAGAGAAACCATAAAGTACTTCTAGAAAATATATCGTAATTTCTTGTTGTTTGCATAATTAAGAATTTACAACGTATTTTGAAGTTTTTTGAAGTGAAGCTAGTCGTCGTATCGTAGAGTACAAGCTAGGAATTGAACGTCAAATCATAGTAAAGTTAAACAGAAACGAGTTACCTTCGGAATATCGTAACAAATATCGAAACTCACCTTAACAGGTAAGCTGCGTATATTCGAACGGTATTATTCGAATTTGTCAGTGCGCTGAAAGTGATCTCAACTAGACCAACGGAGCTATCTTGCACGACGGAATTCACAGTCGATTCGAGGCTGAGCACCAACATCGAGACGACTTCAAAAATACAGATGAGGGAATTGGGTCCGCTTAGCTGATTCAGCTGTTTCAGAAGAATATGACCGAGGTCGCGGCAAGCCGATCGTTGCGCCTTGTCACTTAACAGATTCACGAATACAGATCGTAGAATAAATAGCACACAGCTTCGGGTGAAAACCGAGTCCAAATGCGACTGAGCGGTGGTTTTCGGGTTGGCCACCATCTCAATGAGATGTGTCATGATATGTTTCAGGTGTCGCTCCACAAAGAGGCCTCCCATTTTTTCCAGAAAGAACACGTATGCCTGGTATAAATATACCGACAGAAAGTTGTTGTAACAAACGGCATAATCCGATTCGCGCAAGAGCGACAGATGAAGAATACAAAACGACGATCATTAGTCAGACAAATGGTAGTTCCAAGATATACACTAGTATGCAACTGAATCCATGTCCTTTTTATGGCCTGATTCAGGGATACAGCAGCTCGGCTTTTTTCCCGTACTTTCGTCCGCTAGATATTATTGCATAGGTCACGGCCTGCACAGATCGCGTATCTGTATTCTACATCGAAAAACCGTACGTAAACAAATTTTACTCGTTTTTACACATTTACACACATGTGCGATTCCTGCTCGTGTTTCTCGAATTCCTTCGGTGCCCTTGAATAGACCGCCAAGATTGCCGCGCGCAAACGCCGTTGACAAAAGTTGAAAACATTCTTCAAGACTCCTCTGCTTTGCTGTAAGCCAAAAGCAAGTGGTTTCTATTTAACCGAAACTATTCAGCTTTAGAAGTATGTTTTGAAAATAAAGATCCGAAAAATAAACACAACGTCGGACCCAGGATAAATTTCTGGCTTGCTTATTCTGCCTATCTCTCAGTTTGTGTCCCGCGTAGCTTTCATGATCTACAGATCTTCTAGGCATTTTACAAGCAGTATTACCACTAAGCATTGCTTTAGACGGTAGGTCGACAGCTCGCAACAGGGCATGCCTTCCTTGTCCTGAATCTACTAGACATCACGTGTCTCACGCTATCTACAAGAGATCTTAGTGCATCTAGTCTAGGACGTTAATCAACTAATATCAATAAAGTTAACATATCAAATGCAAATAGTGTTCAAAACACCAAAAACAATATTCCATTAAGTCTCTACTGCCACCGAAAGTCAATCTATTTTACCGAAGTCAAATCTTTCAAAATATTAAAGGCCACAAAGAAATCTATTCATGTAAAGTAGACCATCTAAATTTGAGCCCCTCAAAATAAGATTTCACACATTTTTCCGAATACCATATAATATTTTAAATTTAGGGCAAAGCCTCTATCACTTCCTTAGTTTTCATTTTATCTGGCGGCAATATAATTGCTGCAACGCGGCCACTGGCGGCCAATTATGAATTATTTTTATTACGGATTAGAAATACTCATTTCTCTACATCAGTATATGATAATGGATAATAACGTACTGCAATCCGCAGATAGCAAAAAAATGATCTTTGTAAGATGACCCGATTACAAATCTGCTAATAACTGAATTGTAGGCATATGGGGCGAGCAAATGACTAAGGTGGTCCCCTGATGCTGCCGCGATAATAAAACAAGTGAGAAAATTACGTATGCTCTTTGCTCTTTAACTAGTTAGTATTCTTAATCCTAGCGATATGAATAAGCAGTCCACACAATAAAACTGTACCTCGGTTCATTTTATATGGGATTTTGAATAACAATTCTATGACCACTCGGACAGGTTTTGATATTTGAGACATTTTCAAATAAGACCTAATGGAAAGTAGATCATGTAAATACAGTACCACATCAAGCTCTTAATTTCAATTAATATTTACACTTGTTTATCTAGGCGCCTCTGATTTATACCTTGATACGAACGGACGATGCCTTAATAGCGCGTGACCATAATGAGTCACACAGCATTGAGATATTTCTATTCCGGGAAATGGGTCGCGGTAGAATACCAACCCTTTACAGAATTGCTGAAGACAGTAGCAATAAGATGTGCAGAAGCAAGCCTCGTCCTATAATCAGCACCTTCGAAAGCTCGCAATGCTAGCGACAGCAAAACCTCGAGATCGGGCCCAGCAACTCTGCATAAAGTGTCAGCAGCCAGCTCCCGTATGACCAGCTGCCGATCTGCTAAACAGCCTTTCATCGACTGAAAGGCATAAACGATATAGAAACATGGAAGAAACAATATATTGCCGACAGTAAGCGTAAGTCGTCCAGAAGTCTCAAAGGCTGATGTCATTGAAACAAAATATATTACGCAGAAATAGTTTTTTTCACAAATTCTAAGCACATAATGGAATCTAATGAACATTATGCCATGTATACTTGCATATCCCTTTTTATACATTGAAGGCATTTCTAAAAAAAACCTTGATTAACAGATACATTCTAACATATGCGCGTGCCCTATTTTTTAGTATTAGTAGTATTATTGGTAGGCATCGTATCTTTGGCAAATCACAGTTTTACAACAGTTGCTAGTGGCTCGGTAATGCTTAGTGGAGGATTAAATCAGCAGCTCTTACATATGTATTTGTTTAAACAACTGAAGCTGACTTGGGTACAGTTTAATGTCGATAGTGACGCGTCAATGTCCTAACAGCGTACGCTACAAACCAATGATTCTTCTCTCATGGAGTCATAAAATGTTATTGTCTTTTTTAGGGAAAGTCAACACGTGTCGATTTTCTATAAATCTTCCTCACAATATTTATACGGACGCCAAATCGTAGGTCACAAATGTTTTCAAGAAATAATTTTCTTGTTTCCCGCGCCGCTTAACTATCTTTACTTTCATGTTAGTATCACACCTTTTTAACCCACTAGATTTTGCTACGTTTCGTATACGCTGCCAAGCCATACCGCATAATTATTCTGCTCCGACTTAATAATTAATAGTGTTAAACTAGTAATAACTAAATCGGGCGTTAATGCATCTGTATCGGTAAGATAACAACATTATTTGTGGACTGTTTGATCGAGTCGTAAACGCTCAGTTTATGTTCATGCTGCATGTTGTATAAAGGAATCTTGTAAGATTACTTCCAGTTGCTACGTGTCGTTTGCTGTGAGTTACTACTAGCTGCGTTGCTGACGGACCTGGTTGTTAGGGTGGGAGCGAACAAAAACCTACCTAGCAGGCTTCCTATTCACCTGCCTGCCTACCTGTTAACCAAAAATAATAGAGTTAACTGGCCGCCTGGAGTTACCTCAGCTCTTCCAGTTCAGCAGGAGCAGCCTTCCCCTTACAGGAGCACCAAACGAGTGAGAGAGCGTGCGAGAGTTTAGCAGCAGCATCGGCTAACGGCTGTTGGTTGAATGGCTGGATGGGTCCATTGTTTGCCCACAGATCATTCGCTCATAACGTCGTGTATCTCTTCTGACTACAGAAATTGTGTCTGCGTCGACCAAATGCAAGTGTGCGGTCAGAATACTATCTGCGAGTGCTTCTACCGTCGCTGGTATTGGCTGCAAGTGCCTCTTTACTCAGCGATAGTTTGTTAGCCGCTCAGCAGTACAAAACGATACGACCGTTTCACTGTTTCGATTGTAATATTATGACTGTGAATTTTCACGTAGATGATCAGCGTTGGTTTGGTGAAATTGTAACTGTAGTATTACCACAACTACGTTGTGCGGCTAATTTATTTACATCTGAGCCTATTTTACCACAACGGAAGGACAGTGCTTCCTGCCGAATCGAGATCTTGTCACGGACGTAAGCCAGCAGACGGCGTCGTCGGGATGACACAGCACTTTGTGTCGATGCATTCCGCTGGATACAATGAACTCGAGGAGTCCCGACTCACCAAGTACAATCGAGAGGTACCATCGGTTTTAGCGCCGCCAACATCTTTTGGCCACCAGCCTAGCAGTACCACGGAGAACTCCGTACCACGGGTTGAAAATCGACCCGACTTCAAGGTAGTGTACGTCAATGGAGGGGATGACGTGCTCATTAACAATGATGAAGCTACTAACGATGGTAAGCAAGCGAAGTGACAGCATGTATATATATACACTGACAAAAAAAAAGTTCTTACGTCACCAACAACAAATTAGAACATTTTAAGGAAATATGCCATCCTTATTGTTTGCCAGTGATTATTTGTTCCTGCTATTGTCACCTTCAAATATCATAATGCTGCTATTAACACGCAGAGCTACTGACTTTATTTTTCGTTACGATATGGTATTCAAAGCAAGTAACATTGAACAATTATCACAATAGACCCGACTGCGCTATTTCTTAGTTGCCTAATGTTGCCACAGTTATTTCCTACAGTAACGAAGTGTATTAACGGTCCGAATATATATATATATATATATATATATATATATATATATATATATATATAAAAGCATGTATGGTGGAATCCGTAGTCACAAATGATAACCGGCTGTACTAAAAACCTCGTAAGTTCCCACTTCAACGTTGCCGCACGACGGGATCGCCATAACGACAGATCGTCCTGGTGGCAGACAGACAGATACCAACATACATAGATATGCTATGGTAAGCATCGGGGCCTGCACCAACTGTTATTAGTCTGGCACAGGCGACAAGCCATATTGACTGCATTTTGATAGGATAGTAGTAGTCGTAGTTAAAATGGAACAGCCCGCTGCTGCTCTTGTCGGCCGCCATCTCAGCTCTGCCTAACAGCGTGATAACTACTGGTCCGAGCATTGACCAGATAGGCCATTCAGCCAATCCGAAGAACCCTGTTAAGCTATCCTTCACTTCCCATGAAACACGGAGTGCGTACAACGGCTGTGTGACTAACACTGCCTCTCAGTATGCTGGCCTACTGTTCCTTGAGTTTAATCTTTAACGGTGGTAATGGTGCAGAAGGTCTAAAAGTTCTACTCAGGGTTGCATTTTTGTGCAGCGTTCATAAACACTATAGTAACTATAATTATTATATTATCGACCTTTTTATCTTTGTTTATTCGTTTAACCTCCATAAATGTATAGCTTTCGTGAGCAAAGCACTGAGCTTGACTCATCCGCCGTTGTTTCAGAGGCTTCACCTCGTGGAACCATGTTCACCGCGTTCTTCTTTTTTCTCAGTGCGCTGTTCGCGAGGATTTTCCGTGGCATCAACCGATGTCGACCAATTAGCGCTCCAGCGAGACCGCAAGAAGCTTCATTCAGCGCTGTCGAAGTTGAGCGCATCGAAGAAGAACTTCGGAAAGCACCCAAGAAGGTGCAAAAATCTGATGCACCAGTGTACTAGCTAGATATATGAGTGAGAAAACGAGAATTCAATGAGCTCGCAGCAAATATGGACCATCGAATTAGAGTGCCTAGTATATTGATATGGGTTATGTTAGAATGGTGTTTGCTGTATTAATGAAGTTGCAGTTTAAGGGCGGAAAAATAGTCCTCGTAAGCATTCTTCGGCTTCTTGTAAACGTAATACATAGAATATAAAGCAGACTTCTCCATTGTGGTAGCCAATATCATTCATGAAGCAAGTGTCTATTCTTGTTGTACTTCTGTTGCTACAGTGATCTAGATGGTGTTACCCAAATAACGAATATTGTCGAATGCACTTTTCAAAAAAAGCTAAAGCGTCAGTCGATTGAAACCACAAATGCTGCTTGCCACCTATTTTTCCGACATTTTCGAGCATAGTGTGATCCTTATTGCGTTTACTATAGCGACCTGAACAACAGCAATACATCGATGTTCTCGATCCCGAATAATAGGGTTTCAAACGAAAGCAATGCTTAGCTAAACCTATGACGGCCTTTTTGTGCGTGTACGTTTGAAAACGAAAAAAAGAAAGAAAGTGAGAGAAAGGCGAATGACTATTATTGGCTTCAGCTCAGTGTACATAGCTAAAATAAAAATATAAAAAGCTGAAACTCAAAAAAGCGGCGACGATGACGACCGCATGTAAAAGTGCGTCTAATATCATGATAGGCAATCGAGACTGACGGCAATTCTAGTCAGAATTGAATCGACGAGGCTCGCCAATAATTATTGCTAGGCGTCAGCAGGATATACATGCCGCTTCATCGGATAGTCGTCTACCCACCTCATTGCCCGCGACTACTAAAGCATTCAACTAACAGTATTCGTACCAACTATGGCTGATCGAAGTGTAATGCCGGCATCGAGGGAACCGGTACGAACAAATAGTACTGATTGGTGGACTGGTAGATATAACGACAACCATTTGAACGAAGAAAGTAACAATTAACTTCTATTGACGTTATGGGAAATGCTGATAATTTTATACCCGAATGATCATTGGAAACACATATGGGTGTGTGTTTGTGCGTGTTATACTAGACAAATAGCCATACAAGCAGTATTGTGTGTAAAACAACGTTTAAGTAAATGCATTCACCACAACTATCACTAGCGACTTGTCATTTCCTGCGGGATAATATAATACGAAGATATAAAATTTGAGTTGGTTTTAATAGTAAATGCTTGTTGTGCTTATGCCAACGAAAACTTATGATAACCCTTAGCAGTTGTCTGCTACATATTTTTGAAGCATTAATTAGTGCAACGAATTATAATGAAGAGCTTTTTTTAAAAGTTCTAATCCTCTAGCAATCATTGGAACAAGTTTATTAACCTAAAAAAAATTGACAGCAACCAAATCTCGGAAAATAAAAGAAGAAAGGTTCAACAATTTACTCGGTAATTTATCCAGATATAACAACAATGGCGTCTCCCGTTTATAAATAAAGATCTGTGATTGGCAACTGGTGGAATCACCAAAATAGGTCTTTTCGAATGTTAACCTATCAATACCAGCAGCAAATAAAAGACTCCTATATAACATAGTAAAGAAAACATTTGTCTTCAGCGGGAAGGTCTTTTTGCGAGAAGCTCCTTTCCAGCAACTCTTCAGAGGATGTCTAAGGAACTCTCAAAAGTATAGCCGAATCAGAGCTACGACCTAGGATAATACGGGCAGATAATAAAAGAAAGACTTTTTTGGGGTTCTTAACAACTCCCGTGCTCATTTGCCTTGTACAATAGGCATAGTTTGTACTCAATGCAGAGGAACATCAAATAGCATCAGACTGTTTGAATAGAAAGCACCAATATGTTCACCGTTATTCCTCCCATGGATATTTTATCTGTAAGCTCAGTTTATCAATTGACCATTGTGCCTCAATCTGCAATTGGATAGATTTGCAATGAATCATCAGGGCTCTGTGTAAATACCACGATACCATTGGGAAATACTTTTGGCAACGCTTTTACATTTCATATCCCACCCATTGAGAGGTCATAATAGTTATAACATATTCAAAGTATATTTATTTAAAAAAGGAATGAAGATCCACCTTTATAGCACCAACGTGGTTTACTCATTCCCTTAAACAATCGCCAGTACAGCACTAATTAAAATTTCATAGCAAAAATATAAATACTCTGTTACGAAATTAATACACAGCAAGAAAAATTGGTTAGTAGATTTACTGAAACCTATACTGCAATATGGCGCGGCTATTGGTGCTACGGTGTTTTTCAGATCTGGACTAAAGCAACGATACTTTGGCGGGCCATAGAACACAACAAAACTACAAAGCGTGGTTCATCGGAACAACAAACGAACGTAGAATCAGCTACTTTAACTGTCAAATCACTTTTTCCATTTTTTCAAACAGAAAAGTCTATCGAATCAAATCATTGTGGTACATGTAAGGCTTAGCAAATTTAATCAGAGATTTATAAGGGTGCCTTAAAAATACCCTGTATTTTCCAAAATCTAAAAAGTAAACATTTTCATGTCCCGTATGTTGCCAAAAATAAATATGATTTGGTTATATAACAAAATTATTTACTTGAAAATAAAATGTGAGACCAACCCACCCGCTAGATTGCTTTGATTTTGCGAATACTGAGGATAGAATAAAAGTCAATCTCACAAATTGAGGTTTCTATTGATTTCTTCCTGTTATTTGATGAAGCAAACAAAATACGTTCAGTAGGCGTAAATCACACTAAAAGGATACCTAAAAAGAAAAATGTGTGCTTTTATATAAGTTACTTGCTTTTGTGGAAAATTATCTCGAACGCCATACATTAATTTATAGGTCTCTCTTCCATAGTACGTTTGTTCTTACGTACCCGCGATACTGAGGCTTATATGTTCGAATAAAATCTATTTGTGTTGAACGTGTTGCTCACCAGTGCTACTCGTATAACACGCCTCAGGGCTCACTGACATGTCTCGGTAAATATAAAAATATCAAAGCACTAACGCCACTGTATAATGTAAATAAGCCAAAATCTCATCCATACTCATATTTGTAAGTTTGCCTTTAGTAAGAACCACTGAAAATATTTTGTACCCATCAAAGCCATTCCGGTCCTAAAAAGACCCGCGAAATTTAAAATAAAAAGACCCGTCAAAAACGAATTAACGAAGCATATATATACTCTTCAAGAATTAGTGCATTACAATCGCACAAAATCACTCTAAATCACACAAAAACCAAAAATGCACAAAAACGTATAAAAAACCTAATAAACTTTTTTTTGAAAACCTAAGATATGAATTAGTGTTCACCACGCCCGAAATAGGTTTGAGGGCCGATTTCTAGGGTTTTTTTTTAATCATAAAATGAACTTCGCGCCGCTCCATAAATACAGAAAGCCAATATGAAGTTTACCGAAACTACGAACTAGAGGTGTTACCGAACAGATACCGACTTACAGAAATATATAGAACGATATTTGATCGAACTAGGCCACCGAACAAGATGGCTAACAACTGCATCAAAATCGAGCATGAGACCCCAAGTTTTGTCGGAAAACTAACCTACGACCTAAATCTGTCAGCTAAATTCAAGCAGGCGTTCCCGCTTGTTATTTTTTGATCGGTCGTCAGCATATAATAAGCAACTTCACTAAAGATGTATAAAGATGCAATCAAGTCAAACTTTTTGTATTTCGACGTTTCCAACTGTCGAGACTTCCCAACATTATTACCATTTACAGGTGCCCTCACGCAGCCACAATAAACATGGACCAGCGGTACAAAGCTTTTCTTTTTCCTAAAAGCAAGCGATATTGCAGTACCTTGGTTGCAGATTTATCATATCCACTTTATATTCCACCCACGCAATATTTCAAGACACAACATGGCCCATAAAGTGCAGCCATGTTGTCGCATAGTTAAATGATCAAATGCCTACAGTCTGTAGTACAGCATAGGAACGTTTTCCGGTTACTCAGAGGCCAGCTAGTTGAAAGCTGTATGTACGACACACTCTCGATACGAAAGGATGGCATCTGTTGGTCGGCCATGTCCGTGCCAGTAGTAGCAATTATAATAGTAACGAAACGACAAAGTCCCACGCGTGCCTTAATAATGGACGAAACCATCCAGCTCCTATGCTGTCATTCCAATACGAGATTGTCGACCTTTCTGACCCGAAAATACAGTCTGGGCTGTTCAACGTCAGTGTAAACCATTTGGACAACGCGTGACTTATTACTCAAGATATCTCAGGTCTTATTTTTGGTAACCTCGTGCTTTTTCATTTTCCAAGCATGTTGTTTCTGCTAGGCTTTTGTATTTCTTCAAGATAATTGAAATGTTTGACGTGATATTTCCACTTCTCAATGAGTAGATTTGAGAACTCGCTATTATGTATGCACAACTTTATTTTCCTTATTTGCTTTTAAATCGATCGATATAAAAACGGTACAGATACTTGAAGTAGCCCTAAAAATAATTTTTTGGATACAAAATGGATGGCTATTTTTTCGTGTATTACAATTAATTTTCGATAGGTAAGTGTACATGTCCAAAGCCAATAAAATATTTTCATACTCACTGCTACTGCAAACATGTCAATTCTGCCGCGAAGGGTCGGTAAGGATACTTTAACCGGAACAACGAGTGATAAAATTATGGTATCAAATAGGAATACAAATTGCCAAACCATAAGATGGGATTTAAGGAGAATCCAGTAATCAAAACAAACAAATAATACAACAGAATAAAGAGGACGTACTTAGAGACATGGCATTGGGAGATTAGTAAAAAGATTGTCATGAAAAAGGTAGGCGGTTTATTTGTGGTCAATATATTGAGCCCGCTAGTATAATTACATTTTAAATTAACGTAGGTTAACGTTTTTATGCATTTACTCCCAATCAAGGATTAACGTCTTTACGGGATGTATAACTCAAAACATTTAGGTACTTATTTTTCTATTAAAACAAAACGTTCAAGTAGAAATAGAATTTCTACACAAACGCTCAAAGTATGCGTCTGTCAAAACAACATCAGCTGTTCAAATCAGTAGTAAAAATTAATTTTGTCTTATATTTCCATGTCACATATCTACCATCGAAGATACTGCATTAAAGAAAACACTTAACAGCAAAAATTTGTGTGTTATAAGTTATAAAATGTGTAAGTTATAAGTTCATAAAAAAGTTATGTTTCGAAACGATGTGAAGTTATAGACCTCGATCAAGCGATCTGTACATATAAGCACAGATGGAAAACTGTTTTTTAGTTTGTCATCAGAACGCTGTCGCGCTCTTGATTACTAGGCAGTGACAACGACAGCACTGTCTGCAACAGCAACCCAGCCGAGCTCAAACAATAGATCGCCTCTACCGTATTGTTTAACAGCACCTTTGTATTAAAAACAAATTTGTTTGGGGAGGTTATGTCCACTATATTTCTTTACGCGCTTGGAGGCTTCTTATATTAGATCCAGAGACATCATACCGGCAGCAGTAAAAATGCCACCTTCTAAGCTAGCATTAATTATGAGGAAAACAGATCGTATTTCGCGTAGGCAACGTATCCGTGCATGATGTTCCGTGTCATGAGTTTGAAAGGTGAGTCATTTTAACCATTAGGCTACTGACGGTAACCACTAAAGCATTGATTGGGCAAGTTTTATAGGGGCAAGAAGTGTCCCCACCATTGATTGCAGCAGAGGACTGCGCAGATAATGGGTGTACGCATTGGGTCCAACACACCACATCGACGACAACAGCACAACAATGATAACAAGAACAGTGTTGGTCAGCCAGATAGCATTTTCAGCTGATAAAATTAACGCCTCTGGTATCAACTAGCTTTCACTAAAACTGTGACCACTGCTAGGGAATAATTGGTGGTGTTGTCTCAGAAATAGATTGCGAGTGCTCAAAAAAACGAAGCCATCATTTGCCGCCCCGACAGCCAGATTATTAGTGTTTATGTACCTGTCGTCGCTGTCTGGAAGAACGCCACTCTCTCTGAATAGAAAGACATCCCATTTTATTATTCTCTATCTAGCTCCAGCATGGAGTGCAATAGAAATGTACTAAGGGCCTTGATGATACTCAAGCCAATTGGATGCACACTTTTGCCACTAGGTCACTCGCGTTCTTTTCGACTAAGCTGGATTTAACGTCATTATGACCGCGTACAGATATTATAATTGTCGCATCGGTTAAATGTACATTTTTTTCGGTTTTTATCATAGAAAAGTAAATGGAGCCCTGACCGTGACATAACTGTTTGCAGCACCAATATGGGTCAAACCTAGAAGAAACACCAACAACGGAAGGTTTTGAACTATAAAAAAAAAATGTCAACCCAAAGTCTTATAGGTTAATCTCATCTTTATCAAATCATCAATCATCATCATCAAACAATCGACAATCATAAAAGAGATTAAAATTGAACTGATAAAATCTCTCACTCACTGATTCAAGAAAATCATGCCAAAGAGGGTTACCTTGGCTATATCACGATGATATTGTGTAGCTGCATTCCCCACACCCACAAGCAGTTTGTGGAGACAAGTGATAATCTCAAGCCGCGTCTGTAAGTCACCGTTTTTGTGAAGCTTTAGCAACATTTGTAGAGTCTCCTCGTACGAACGACCCATCATACGGCCTGAAACAAATAAGCACCTGTATTAATAAATTAACTCGTACGGTTTTGGCTGGCTTTCCCTTCCAACTGAACTCGAGCTAGTAATATGCGAATACAAGTAGCGAATACACAAGCAACTAATCAGTACAGCGACCGCGGTGTTCAGACATGATTACGCATTGCTTTCACGCATCAAGAATTGATCTCAACTGAACGATATTATAATTAGCCTTGCCGGATCTTTCTCGAAAATGAATTTTTTTCCGATAAACGCAAAAGTAAAGAACGTTTTTTTAGATTGTTTAGTGTCTCCTGCTTTTATGGGCCATGCAGTTATATACTTGCTTTTAATTTCTTCTTTTTATTAAACGATATTTTATTGTCAAGAATATTACAAGATCACTCTCAGTCGACCGTTTGGCAGTAATACGCAACCAAGCGTACAGCTTACTACACAACCTCAGAGAATATATGAACCACATACTTTATATACTGATTGGTCCGTACACTGTGCCATTCCCAAAATCGTCTGGTTATTAGGGTTGCCACTTGGTTCTACCATGCCGTCGTTCTCAAAAACTGATCTGATCTGACCTATCTTTGCTATATGTTGTAGTGGATTGTAAATCTGAGTTTTGTAAGAATATTTAACCAACCTTCGATGAGCACTGAGTAATTGTCTTTAAACTAGGGCCAGATTTCACCTGAAGTTGTGTTAGAAAAGTACTCCCAGCAATACCCATTGTTTCCTGACCTGTCTGCCTATCATAAGATTTATGCGCGCGTGTGCTGCGCGTTTCGACAATCGATTTTCTCTTAGCTATAGCTAGATAGTTTCCATTATAATTATCATAATCTAAAAGCGAAAGCAAATCATAATACACCATTTTCTAAAACTATCCATCTAACACAAGGGCTTGGATGGCCCATGGAATCGATAAAAAGCAGAACAATTCATAATTTTGACGGAAAAAGATCGGGTCAAATACCATTAAGACGTGAAATACCAATATTACAGCTAACTAACTCTTGTTGGGAACTCCATACTTAAACGCTCGTTACAGATCAGTTGGTTTTCAGAAAACGTGCATCAGATACGTATTTTCGATTAATTAAATGGCTAAAATATGCACACTAAACTAATTGCTTACGTTCTGTGTATCTAACTCCGATTTCTGTTTAAACTGGCTAAAATCTAACCATACCCTGATGACATAACAGTCACATGCTTCCAGTTATATCCGAATTGACTTTCTCGAACTCACACCCCCCGCCTTTCAAGAAAAATATTGTATGATAGCGATAACAGAAATCCATTAAGTAAATTAATAGGCATATTCCGACAGAATTTACTTATGTACTAACAATCACAAAGATATTTAAAAATCTGCTATTCAGTTGAAATAATTGCAATGTAAGGCTTGCTCACTCTATCCATATACCGTGTAGATATGGAATGCACCAACACCGTATTGTCTACTGTTTGATACGATTTGTTACTTACCGAGTCTCTCGTACATGCAGCCAAGCGCAGTAATGGCGCTCAGACGAGCAACTTTTGCTTCGTGCTTAAGCGAATCATTACATCGATTGACGCATTCGAACAACACAAAGGTATCCCCTTGAGCGAACAACGCCGCTAGGCAGGACCCAATAAGAAGACGCACAGGAGGACCAGGCGATGATGATTCGAGTAGGGCCAACAGCTGTTCGACGAGAGGTTTTTGTTGAACTTTAATGACCGCCTATGAAACAAAATTAAATCATTTTAAATCGATTATAGTTTGATGGATTGATTAGTTTTGTTGTCTTTTTATTTTAAAACGTAGTCTACTATATCGTAATATCCAATCCAACTTCACCACTGCGATTTAGTTGGATACGCAGAAGTTAACTATCCCACATAAACCTAGGAGTATGGGAAAATTAACAACCGGTGAATTCTTTGAAGGTTGGGATCACGTCACATACCAGCCGAAACAGTGACATTCAGTTGTCTCAGACATATGTATTTCTCCAGGCCAACTCTTAACGCGGACATAAGGATTTCGAACCAGCACAACTTAAAAATGGATTAGGTTCTTTCAGTATTTCACTGTTTCTCCCAGGCGGTACGAGGCTGTAGGACCTCTGAAAATTAATCCCCGAAGTCAATATTGATCTTTCTGCTTTTCTTGACCCTCGTGTTGTATTTTCATTTGCACAAACTCGTCAAGATCTTGCTCATCATGAAATGTTCATGAGGGACGTTAATGCTACAAGCCCCACGCGTACATCTTGGTGTTTTGAGACAACTTAAAACCAATGTTGTACAAGCCACTAAGCGTTAGATATGCACGTCGCGTTTGCCACAGCACCAAGAGCGTGACGCTTTAGTTACACTAATAGATCTATCCATTAGAACAAGAAGTTAGAACAGAGTGGGACAAACAGAGAGAAACTGAATCATTGCAAATGAAGCGATGTGTATAACATTGCATTGAGGTAATATTATGACATTATATATATTGATCTAATGTATGAGGCTTTTAGAATTCTCGATAGCTTTTAGAACGATGGCCTAGGATGCTGCAAAAAAGCGAGAGAATCTATAAAAGTCGTTTTCTAGGTAAGTGCATTTAGTCACACTGGTCGAAACCTCAAATCGTTAATAAACTAGCCCATAAAAAATAGATATAGTAGTTCGATAAAGTGAACGAACATCTGTGTTCCTTCTTTCTTTCGGCTTAATTGTAGGTAGTATCATAATATTTTGATTGGACGCCAGCTTGATAGCAACTGGACCTAAGACATGAATATATTGAGACCACCTTCGTTTGATGTTCATAACTACTAGTAAATAAATATTCTTAAATCTGCGAAATATCTAATTTTTTTTAATAATTATTATTATGGAATGCAAATAAAAATTCGAAGCAAAACAACGTTTGAACTATATAGTATTTCTGCTATATATAGAATGCTGTATATATATATAGAACTGCTATAGTATTTCTATTCGAATCCGCGACTATTCTCTATTTGCCGGTCCATTTTTTTTATTTCGCCATAATAATGGCGGCAATAAAGATAATTACTTAGATAAACAAGGGTACTGGTCCGTGTAGCCTGCCAACTTGGACAATACACACAACATACAAACAATAAACACGATATACGAACAACGTTGAAAGCATGCTTATAAACAAAAATATAGATCTTTGCTTTATTACAGATACAGGTGTTGATACGAATTACAAAACAAGATTCCAAACTTGGGCTAGTTTATTATTTGTAAGATCCATGCTTCTCTAAGGTGCTTCCTTATCAAACCAAGGTAACCTCTATCGAATACAATTTTTTGTTTTTTTACTACTCGACCATCCAAGCCAATAAAGAAATTCATATCTGGAAACTAAGCTGCATAATCAACCAGCTTACTAATTTTTCTTACTGTGATCCAATCCCAAATCGTCCGTTATTATCACATATATATATATGTGATAATATATATATACGTTTTACAAACAGATTAAGCTAAATGAAAATTTAAAAAAAGTGCCGACAAAAGTGCATTTATTCCAGATATTTAGAGTAAAATATTGACCGTATAAATTGTTGAATGCCAGATATGGTGTGTCCGATTATTCTGCCGTAGATGATAAATTGCTAAAGCAGTACTGTTATAGCCACCCCGGACTTTTTCTCATTACTTCTTTCACAACAGCCAGCAAATGGAACTTCCAATTTAACTTCATATAACTGTTCATATAATTCGATACTATGACGAAAGCTTGATAAATCCACCTTACCCATGTTTATACTTGTATCATGACTTATTCGAACTACAGTGGCCGGATACTGAAGGAAGTAAAACGGAAGAACTCATTTTGGTAAATTATGCAGCACTTTCTCGTTTACTTAGAAATAAATACAGATCAATGTAACTAAACCTTTATTTTTTAGCTTAAATATATAACTGTAACAAATGTGTTTAAAAACGACGTGCAGTAGAATGAACTAAAAAATCACTATTAAAGTCAAACGTTGCTAACAAGACATCTGACTCGGTCAACTCGTTTTATCATTCGCCCACTCATATTGATAACAGTAGAGATCCATGACGCATTTCAAATAAAGTAGGGTTCTCAATGTTATCTATGACCAAATTAAGCAGCGGTATATCGGTGTGATTATTTTGTCTTGATAAAAAAACGCCTTAAACTAAATATAAGGAGGGTTACTGAATATTTTGAAACGGGAAGCGTTGATGAAAAGCGACACATCGGAAGTCGACCCACGCAATATCGAAAGGGGCCTCAATATTAATCTCACCAACGGGTCAAACAAAGTATCGCTACGAAAGCGTATGTGTATAATAAAAACTTGAAGCTCAGGGCTCCCCAAAGGATTCCTGCCTATCTGCGTGTTTTCGATTTCACAAAGAAGTAGGTTTATAAAAAAAAAAAAAGTTTTTGAACAAATAGTCGCAATAATTGATATCAGCTGGATATAGCTTAAACTGGCTCGGACAACCAATATACTTAACAAACGCTGCAGGATAAAAAAGCTACAAATTTCTGATTGGGAAAATAAAAAAATAGTCGAACAACAACTATTATTTTTATATATTCCTTTCATATCTATAGTTTATAAGCCTCTAATATTTATAGGCAATAAGTGAAAGCTTATGATTTGGGTGACGATGTCGAGCAAGCAAAAATCAACTGAGGGATACAGAGCATAAATCGAAATCATTTAGGTAATAAAATAAGGCGACCGATAGGGGAAACACCGGCCACTTTTTGAGATTAATAATTTTTAGAACAGTAGTGATAGAAGTGGTGAGGTCTTTAAGCCACGTAAAAAACATTTCCCAATTAAAAACATTGAGCACCTCTGTGTTTTTTTATAAAACACGAGAAGCCACGAACAAACTGGTACAATTTAAGGAAGGGTGATGTTAACACCATTGATGAACAACAAACAAGGCATCTTCTATTACTGTAATTGATCATAGCACAGATTGAATAAGGGTTTATTAGCAATGACAGCTCAGTCCGTACGGTTATTCTCTTCTCTGTTGTAAGTAGACAACAAAAGGCCAATATACAAACGGAAACATTTTATTCGTATGTTTTTATCTAGGTGAAAAATCTTGGCTACATATGGCTAGTTACGTTTCACCGACGGCTTTCAAAAATGTGCAAGGGTTCACTACATTTGTCAAAGTAGTCCTTAATTTCAGCAAGAGTACGTGTTCCATATCGTCAGCGTTATTGCATCATTTATTTTGAGGTAAAATTCGTAGTACGTTTTTTAAGACTCATCTTACACGCGCAATGTGCAGCAAAAACAGACTTCCTACAAAATACTCTACGGAAGGTTGTTTGTGACGTGTTGTTAACCGTTCTTCCTTACTTTTACCTCGGATAGTGAAAATATGTTCTACTTGAGTCGAAATTTAATCACCTGGGAAAAATACAATACTGTAACGACTATTGCAGAAAAATAATCCATTATACAGGCTAGTGGAACGTTGATCTTACCTTGTCTGCTAAGTGAAGATTCTTATGCACCTGACACAGCCACTCATAGATAAACAACTTCTTTTCAGCCTCACCCATTTTGGCCAGTAGGGCCTTGTCCAGTGTAAAGTCCATTTCGCCCTTCAGCTTGTGCTGTCGTTTTCCTGCACAGTTCTGTCCGATTCCGCGCCTTTCACATCTATCTGGGTAGCTCTTCACCACGAAGCATTTTTAGCCAATCTCACAAGCACGGCGGTGACTCTACAGCACAGCCCTAGTTTGGCAGCAAGCAAGTACTTTTACACGTACCTTTTTCGCGCTATCTATTTTGCATTGTCTTCCATTGTTCGACACCGGACTGTGGTTTACGCTTGTCTCACTTGTCGTGCTACTGTTTTGATATAATCTTCACAGCACTCTACCGAGGACAACAGAGAAATAAATTAACAATTATCATTTTGATCTAGCTCGTCCTTCTTGTTAAATTTCCGCATATAACTTCACGTGAAGGTAACAAAAACATTGAATAAATCTTTGAATAGAAGCGCCACCTTTTTAGTTCTTGAATCAGGCTGCTCTTGCTTGAAGATTAGAGGTCCAACAGCAATACATGAGTCTGCCGTAAAACCCCGCTGCTAACTGAAATCGTTCGCCCACAGGCCAGTAACAGTGGCTAGAACATAGATCAGTCGGTATCCGCTATACAGCAGTGCTGAGCTGCATAGCAGAGGCTCAGCAAAAGACTGACCGAACATGTGTTGTTGTTGACGGTCGTAATGGTGCCATTGGTCTGTAGTAGCTCGTCCGTCTGCCTAATTGGGTATCTACTTACACATTCGTCTAGACCTATTACCTGCCAATGATACGTTTTGTTATCAGCTGGAACACAACAGGCGGTCAGTGCGCGGAATGATATTTCGAAACACCGCAGAAAACACACGATTCGATAAACATAGGAGCACGCGCCATCGAAAACTTCGAAAATTGTCTGCGAATTTTAAGTACGAACCTATTTATGACACTGTGAAAATAAGAAAAGTTAGGAAGTGGTTTGGCGGAAATGTAGTTGGTTTCTACTGTCGGGTACTTATGTGAGTTTCCTTTATTATGGAGTGACAGTTCAAACGGCTACATGGCAAATGCAATGCCAAATAAATTTTTACTTAAATTACGCCAATGCGATTTATATTTTATTATAGATTATTATAGTGTGACCCTGCGTATATTAGCAAAATAATGTATTGTGTAGTGTACTGATTGGAGAATTTCTCATAATTCGAGCAAGAATCAGAAGTTTATTAGTATCAATTTATAAAAACAACTCTCTTGTTTGGTTTACGCGGATCTAGATGCGCGCGAAAGAAAGTTGGATATCAACGGAGCTCAGTAGCAGACATCCTGTGGTACAATTTGAGAATTAGCTCCAAATCCCTGCTTCGACAAATTTATCCGAGGCGATCCGAATTGGAACGTAGAAGTTTCGGCGCTTGTGCAAAAATGGCTAACGATTTTGCGTCTATGATTACCTATGGCGCGCTGAAGGTATGTATACTTTCCACAAACCTATTCAACTTATCAGCAGAACGAGTCAGCTGAAAAACGCATTTAAGTTTTTTTAAGTATAAACGATAAGACCCCATCGGCGCCGATCTATTGTCATCCCAGCAATATAACAAAAGACTGTCTATATAAAGGTATAAGCTATGAACAAAATATTTATTGGTTGCATAATCTGCACGCTTTTAAAAAATACTCTGTTAAATTCCAAAAAGCAAGGATGCATTCGTGTAAAAGATTCTAATCCACAGTAGTGGCCATTAGGTGGGCCACTTGTATTTGGCGGCCAAGTCAGCATACCTAGAATTAAATGGGTTGTCTTATAGTCTTGCAAGAAAAATTGATCTCTGCTGTTGAATACCACAACTGTGTTTACGAAATACTCCGATGAATTAACTAACACCTTCTGTCTTATAATTTGTTTCAGCAAATGCGAAACGAGAACGACGGTTTGAAACCGATAGTACAGGTTATGGTAAGTATAGAAGAGGCAGTCTCTTTTGTTTAGTACGTTCTACCGAGATAAACAGTGGTTAAAATCAGACCATTGTGTATAGCGAGATAGCGTTCGACATTAACATTAGTAAGACTTGTTAAAACAAGAGGAAAATAAGTGTACATATAATTGAACTTTTAATAATAGTAATATTGAGGTTACATGCTTAATTTAAACTTGAATTTGCAGACATTTTAAGATAGCCATTGTAATACACAAAAGAACCATGACGATAGTTTCATGCAAACGAAATCTCAGAGGAGGCGCTATTAAGTTTAAGTCGTAACAACATTCCGAAGTAATAATCGACAAATTCTGCGCAAAGAGCTATCGTTCAAATGTGAAACAAACGTGTGATTCTATTATGAAAAGTAAAGCTAATAAGCGATGTGTAATGAGTTTCATAGAAACCAAAAGATGTTTTAGATAGCTTTCATAACTAAACCACGTCCGTTGCTTAAGTAGACATATTTTTCACATATTTTTCATACATGCGCCATAAGTCGCAGCACTTTTGGTTATCAAAACATACTCCTCCGTAGAACAACAGGTAGAGCATATTTGTATTGACACACAACATCTATGCAATATGTACAAAGATGTACACCTATCGTATATCTTGATCCAGATATACAATAAGTGTCCATACTTATCGAAGGTATCATGCGTTTCAGCATATGAACCGTCCTATTCGGCCTATTGGGCTAGTTCTATTGTTTAGATTCGTTGTACACTGAGACGAAAAATCTCCCAAGTGAAGCCAGCCCAGCTATAAATTTCGTGTATTACTGCCGATTCCTTACACCTTGAATCCATTTATTTTTACATGGTCATTTAGCCTGAACAAACTCAATTCGTCATCTAGGTTATTTAGCCTGAACAAATAATTGTTGGTTATTATTCTCTCGATAATAATGATTCTGTCGATTGGAGCAGATGCAAGATACTCCTGCTTCTAGACTCCAGAAATATCTTGATAGTTTCTACGTATTCTGGAAAAGACCTATGCAGTTCGTACTTATACCGTTACTGTTACTACGTACTTATACTCATTACTGTTTGAAATGTACAGGAACTAAAACCAGTAAAGGAAAATAGATTGCGTGCATACCTGTGGGACGGTGTTGAAGACTTCAACTGTGAGTTACTAGTGCTACCAGCTAAAGTGTATTTTTAAATCTACAACTATTGTTATCGAAGGCACGTCTTGGTCAAACAAATGTTACCTGTAAGATTTTATTGGCAAGCATTGTGGGATCTTTTTGTATTAGATTTTTTTAAAATATTGATTACATCAAGGTAATTTTAGAGTAAAAAAAAACTACGGCCCAGGCAGCTACAATGTTTGCACTAGATAAAAATGTATATAAATCTAAAGTTGTTTAGATTAGACATAGTATAGGGACGTATTAACCTCATAAGAAGTAATAATTTAAATAATGTTATACATTAACACTAGTTTTAAAAGCCAATATATTTAAGTGTTTTTCCTACTTTCCGCTATTTATGCATGTACATGCATATTAGATGGTATGATCTCATCACAAGCCGTTCCGCATGTGGAGGATAAGCTAAAACCATTTTGCCTCATTCGCGTAAACAACTACAGCGTCACGAACACAAATAACAGGTAATTTTCGCACTCGGCAGACTCTTCCACAAAGTCGTTAAAGTAAGTTAAAGTTCCCGATAGATGTTATGTTACTTACGAAGATATACGCTGCTTTTCCCAGAAGTATGAGTCATGCCTTGAAACATGTTATCACTGGGGTATAATCTGAGAAAGTGCGTTTGAGATGATGCAATTTTCGCCTTTCTGAGGATCAAGTGTTACCAAACAAGAAAGTGATTTTGAACCAGTACAAAAACTTTGGAAGAATAAAATTCAGCTTCTCTAGCCATGTTGACTACCGTATCTATATTGGAGCGTTAAAGCTTGCGTCTGTGGATCCACTATAGCACTACGTTTTACAATTATGGAGCATTCGCAGTGGGCAATATATTAATCTATATGCATTTGTTTATAAACCTCTGTCGTTCTGTTGTATACTTCGCCTCGGGTCTATTCTAGGCTAGTATTTTGGCTGGTGTGAATGCATGTGTGGAAGGTACATCACTACAGAACAGCTGGTTTCTCTTTAATATATGGAAGTATGAGGATCATTACACGATTTGTTTTGGGGTATCTAGTGAAAACGATAGATTGTTGTCTTCAAGAGACCTGCAAGACCATGTTCTGGCAGATTAGGACACTTATCCTATCGAATAGGTTAGTATCGATTTTTTGGGCAATCTGTGGTGAATTTCTGCAAAATAGATCACATTTAGAAGCTGAAGACAAAATCGGAGTTTATTTTTTACCAAGTTTTGAGGTTTGCGGGTTAGTTAAGCATGGTCTGTTGGTTGTAACAAAATCTGATACCTGTCAATCGATCATTCGTACTGTACGCACTCCATTTAAATTTAGTTGGCAAAAGGATAACACACATTGGTACATATATGATTTGGATATTTCGTTATTTCTAACCACCCAGTATTGTTCCGCAGTATTGTATAACGTTTACGTTGTGTTTTTGCGGATCTTATTGAACACAGGTCAATTATAATCATTATGAGCTGTGACGTTGTGGCAGAAGCTGCTGACGTCAAGGCAAAGGTGATCTTCACGGAAAATCAACGTAAAGGTGCGTATATGCAGAGTAAACGAATACAAAGTTTTTGCTACTTCAGTTATCCCTCTATCTGTAGCTTAAAATAAGTTTATGTTCATATTTATCTAGTGAAGCACAGAACAAGATCGGTGTCTTCTTGTTTCTTACACTAGAATAAGGTCTTGGGTAGTCATCAATTAAATTTTATCAACACCGCTTTCCGATCCAACTAAATATATCTCAAGCTGACATCAATTTATTGTGAGGCACATTTATATTAGGATAATATAAAATTTATTCTGGTGTATAAGCACTGCTCCTTTGATTTTGACAAGTAGTCTAATATGCTTCCACACAGGTCATCATTCTCTGTTTGACATTAAGTTTGCTGGTTTGGCACTACAGCTTTTACAGAGAAGGGAAACATTAGCCAGGAAGTTGGAAACAGCGTATCAAATATAAAGACACCGACAAAGCCAAACCGGCCACTCGGCATGACCAACGGAACCCCGCGCACGCCCTTCAGTACTGCTACAATGCCGATTTCGTCCCTCAATCCGTACCAGAGCCGCGTCACTATCCGCGGTCGCGTGTCAAGTAAGAGCGATATCAAAACCTGGTCGAAAGCATCCGGCCAGGGGAAACTGTTTACATTTGAAGTCTTCGATGATTCCGGTGAAATACGAGTGACGGCGTTTAACGAGCAAGCGGACAAATTCTTCGAGTTGATACAACCAAAGCAGGTGAGTACCAACCATTCCGAAAACAAATTTCTGAGCACAGAATACCTTGTGCGAACAGGTATAGAATCATCGACTATTTTAATAAAAATAGGAATATTTTATTTATATTAAAACTCTAAATTAATAACAGCGATAGCCCGAAACTTATCTGCGGTGGCTCAAGGGATTAAGTTTCCCGCTGCGAAGTTGCGGGGCAAGTGGTTCGATTTTAGTCTGTGATTCCCATGTTAGAGTGGATGTAGAAGAGAAATAGAAATGTTTACTTTTTCTTTTTAATGAATCATCGCTTTTTAGGTGTACTTCATTTCTGGTTTTCAATGCAAGGCTGTCAACAAAACTTTCCGCGTGAATAACAATGAGTATGAGCTCACCCTAGGGAAATTCGCCAACGTTGTACTATGCACAGAAGATTGCGGTGACGTACCCGAGCAAACGTACGTTTTCGTGAAGATTGCTGAAATCGAAGACTCACCGACAGATCAGTTAGTTGGTGAGTTCAGTCGAGCGTTTAACGTACCGTTTGTTCTGTTCATAACTGCGCAGAATCAGTTGTGACAGCAAATGCAGGTGGCTTGGTTCGTTTTCATCAAGCTATTTGCTTTTTCAGACATAAAATTAAATTAGTCTTATTATATATATATATTATGTATATATATATATATATATATATAGGAAGAGGGAGAGAGAGAATGAAAGTCTCTTTGATCTCGCTCTCTGAAGGCTTTTGCTATTCTTCATTCAGATGTTTGCGCAGTTGTGAAGAGCTTCGGAGAGCCGCAGACGTTCAACAGGCGAACAGATGGAAGGCCCATAACGAAGCGGGAAGTGATGATTGTAGACGATTCGAATAAGTCCATTGCTCTGACTTTATGGAATGATTCGGCTGTCAACTTCCAAGCTGAAAATAACCCAGTGATCCTGGTAACGAAGGCTCGAATCACCGAATTTAACGGTTCGGTGTCAATTACAACTGGGCAGACTTCATCGCTAGAATTGAACCCGAACCTGGACCGTTCCAAAGAACTACAATTGTGGTGGCGCGCCGAAGGCTGCAAAAGCGACTTCGAATCTATTCGTGGCTCGGGTGCCGGCTTCGACTATGCACAGGAATGGATGGACTTTGAGCTGATGACCCGTAAGGGTGAAGCTTTCGATATCTCTGACAAGCCTATGTACGTGTGGAATCGTGCCACCATCACAATGTTCAATAAAGATAACGCTTTGTACAAGGCTTGTGCAGCTGATAATTGCATGAAAAAGGTGCAGGATCAAGGCGACGGGCTGTACCTGTGCGAAAAGTGCGGAGGTCAGCCCAGCCGAAACTTCAAATGGAGAATGTTGCTTAAGATCGTAGTGTCAGATGCTACCAGGCAGTCGTGGGCTACGGCGTTCAATGAAAAGGCTGAGCAGATACTCGGCGTGACGGCTGCTACTCTTGGCAAGTACAATGAGGATGATCCGGAAGGTATGGACAAAATTTTTGCTGACGCTATGTTCAAGGGATTCCATATGAAGTTCCGTGGCAAGATGGAGGTGTTTCAGGTAGGTGCAATTACTACCTTTCAGTAAACAGTAATAGATCGCACTTCAATTTGGACAGTGTCATTAATAACTAAGCATTCTTCGATCTTTGAAACATGACATTCTAGCGGTATAGGGCAGTTAGGACAGCTGTTGCGATCTGCATAAAATATGATTCTCTTATTTACATATTTGATTTTCAGGCATGTCCTACTATACATTAAATTTATGTGTAGAAAAATAGCATCTGTCAAAACATTTGAAAGTGGATATTGCCGTTGTGCAAACCACGCTGCAAACAAAGTATTTATTAAATTAAAGCAGATACGTTATATCTACCAAATTTCAAACATCTGAGTTTTATGTTCTAGGAGGAGCGTCGATTCCAGTTAGCTGTCGTTGATGCCAAAGAAGTGAGGGTGGTGGACGACTGTAAACATCTTATCAAGGAGATTGAATCCTTAGGAAAGTTGTTAGATTAGTTGTAATGATGCAGGCATTCCATTCTGCATAGATGGAAATACTTTTAAATTCTATTCTGTCAAGTGATTTGCATAGATCGGATCTAGCCAGATCTAGCTTGAATCCCATAATATGTTAGTCGTTACACAAAAAAGAACGAGTCGTTTTGAAGGCTCAGCATAATCTCACATAGATGTCGCAGCACATGAGATAAATCATGTTTATGTTCTCTAGAATATGCTCACACAGAGCTCGATTATTATGTTATATTCAGATACCTATAAATATATCCTATGTATACACACATATGCTTTTAAGCAAGGTTTTCTTAATCTAGATAAAATTCTAAATCTAGATAATCCTATAGCGTTTAAGAAATGTCTTGTATCCTAAATCTGGTCGCTTTATACCATCATGGGTGCTCTGAGAGCAAAGATCTTTATAATGCTGTTGCAGCATGGTGGCAAAATTGTTTACAGGTTTTTTAAATTAATATATTTGCTTTAATACAGAAATATAATATATTAATATGTTAAAAGAAGTTAGTGAAGTTTTCTTGCAAACGCTGAATCTAAACAATGAATTGTTGGCGCATTTCATTTAATAACAATGCATGTTAAGCATAGTGAGTTTCTCGCTTTCTGGTTATTTTTGCCAATTTTTGGGTTGTTCTCTAGTGTTTACTTCGTCAGAAACGGTGTATAGCTTCTCGGCTTATTATTTACTACGTTTGTTATTATATCTTAACAAAAGGAAACACTTTAAAAACTTTAACGACATACAGACTAACATGCTAACGGCAGAGCTGACTCGGAATGTGAGAATACACGTCAGAATAACGTCCAGGTTACGTTGAAATGATTATTGATTGAGTCTGTATTCAATGCGCGGTTTATAATAAGCAGCTGCCTAAACAAAATTTGAAAACATGCTAACTGTGAAAACACTACCTAAAATGAGTCAAGTTTAGGTCTGTTCAAAAGCTGGCACCAGCAGATGGCTTAACCATCCGAAGTCGGCTTACGTATATGATACTTACCGTTGTACTTTCCTGAGATGTTTCTTCAGAATTGTTCAGGCTTTTCGCCGTTAGTGACATTGGACCTTTTTATCATACTGGGCGTGAATTCAATAGAACGCATGCCAAAGACCACGCCAATGGGGGGGACTATTTAGCAACAATACGACGTTGTTGTTCAGTTTTTGATCTCAGCTCAATCACGTTATTTATGCCCATACGTTCGGACCTACTACTACTATGTGTTACTACTAATGTCCTTGCTCTTACTACTGAATCGCATCATCACCCAAAATAAATTTTGTGTTACGTAATTGTTTTTCCATCTGGGTACTTTAACTTATGTACTTAGCAGTGGAGAGGTCCCACAAAAAACCTTGAAGCAGAATCTGAATATTTAGCCAGTTTTAATTACATATAACTTAAAGGCCGCAGTTCTTACTACATTATGGACTTGCGTAGAACTCAGCTATCAAAATTGAATAAATTAGTTGCATTGACCTACTTTGTGGGTTCTATCTAGATTCTATAATTTATTATCTAAACGTTGTTGGAGTATGAAGCATATTCTATTCAGATGATATAAAATCAGTAAGCTTCTATGCTAAAGCATACACTAGACCTATTTTATTAGTTTGTTAGGATTTTATAGATTTTCACTTCGTGTGCTACACGGAGTTGTCATTAAACATATTGATGCAGGAGATAGGGTAAGGCTATTACAAAATTAGCTAAATTCAGTAACCCCACAGAACAATATTTTTTTTAGAACAGTTTTTAGCAATTGCTAAAAATCGCGATGCCGAAATCCTCGGTTTTTGTTGGTCCTCCACTTTACAATTAATAATCTAAGTATAAAACAAGCAGCGCAAAATTAAAGACGGATGATTACTTGTAATAGCATCCATGTGTTAAATAGCTATATTGCTGGCAAACCATTTTGTTACAATATATATATATATATATATATATATATATATAGCAGAGGGGAGACCTCTCGCAAAGAGCCAAATCATCACTAGGTTTGTTGACATTTCACTATTGTTTTGTGGGTATTACCGATAAAGAATGCAATATATTAAAGCGCTTCAATTTTTTTCCGTACTGTTAGGCGACGCAATTGATCCCTAATGAATGTTCCAAATCTCGTTCGAGGCTCACAGCTCATGTATTAAAGGCTATAATAAACATTTATCTAATTATTCAGGCTTGATCAAACCGATCTAGTTGCGAGCAGGGTCTAGATTATTATAATTATTGCGCTATTTTTTCACTGATATTATAGAGTATTTGCTAATTGTTGATTTTTTTTCCAATACCAGCTATACATACCTGCGCCTTTCAATAGCAAAGTTTGTTTTACTTTAAGCAAAAAACCGAAGCTGGCGTCTGTGCTTTTTATGTCCTTTCTTCCCGTCCTAAGGGTGCTGTATTCCGCGCAAAGAAAGTAAGAGAGGACAAAAAGAAGAAATCCGGCTTGCAAACAGCAGTACAATTCCATGACTTAACTGAGATTGTGCCTGTTGTGATTAATTTGAGTTCTCTGTTGACTACCGGGTTCAGAAATAAAATTGAAGTAATTGTGTTTTAATTTTAACAGCAGTGTACCTTCTATTGTGTATCTATTTAGTGTCGCTTACTTAGTTGATGTTCCTTGGTGGGTTGGAATGGTCTGCATTAGCTTATCATAGCATCAGTTAAAAATATAGACAAATATATAATGCGTAATGAAATGTGGAAAACATAGAAATTCATATAAATAATTGATAAAAACAGCAAGGTAGAGATCGTTCATGTCCGATTCACGCAAGCACCTACTGAGCGGACAATGCATTTAACGAAGCATCTTCAGACGGGTTGTATTAAAGCTAAAGATAATCCTGAAGGGGAAAATTAACGGGCTACTTAAAAAATTTCAGCCTGTTGAGTCAGTTTGCCAAATCTAAACTTTAATAGACGATTTAATTTTGAAAAAAATTATACATTTTTGTAGAAGTTTTCTGTAAGAATATTCGGAAAAGTAAAAAAAAAAACTTTTTGATTCCATAAATTCATAAAAATTCCATTTTATGGAATGTCGCAAAAGATCAAAGCTTCTCTCAGCGCCAGGCATTGAATAAAGCAATTGGATAGGCAAGTATAAAAGGCATTTGGTGAAGCAAAACCGTATTTGCGATTAGCATGACTCTCTAAAATTTGACATTATGGAAAAGTGGTCCCATCATTAGCAAGAAGTCACCACTTTTCTCCCACTTGAGTGGAAAGCTATAGAAGTTCTCTATTCCTAATCTAACCTACAAGAACCTAATAAACCTATAAGATAATAAACTTCTTTAACGGTGCGCCACATCGCATATGGCTATGCGATTGCAGAGGAAGTAGAAACAGATTTCATCATAGTACGACAGAAAATGCCTAACAGATTAAACCACTATGGACTTCGGACTTAATCGACGCCATGCCCAAGTGCATTTCGTGTGGTCCTTCTACCGTGGCAGTGAACTAAAGAATATCATTAGGGTATGGCTGCCACGTCACTGATTATTTTGTTTAGAAGAACCTTAGGTCGCAAGAAGCTAAACAAAAACCGCTAATTCAGAACAAACTAGACCTTAACTACTACCGAATCCTCTTAAAGATAAAGCAGCAGATATTCGTCGATTGCTTTCAGTCGAGAAAATAGTTGTTTCGAATGCGAAATGCGAAAACGAACCACAGCACACGATTCAAAATATACGTCTGCTGTAATTAAAGCCAATTTCCAGGCAATGTTCATGTCCAAGGAAGTTTATCTTTGTTTTCTGCAAAATGTTGCGTGACTGTGGGTGGATACGTGTCTATAAGACAGCCACACATTTTTCAACATTATAGTGCATTGACTCACACAAGCCGGTTAGTGCAGGCATGACATCCTGGTAATCAGAGCGGAAATGTCTTAAATGACCACCAAAGAGTCTGCATTTAAATTTGTTGAATGTAATGAAGCGTTATTGAGCGGCAGTTTAGTATGCGGAAACGTCGATTTGTCATAACGATGTCGATTTAGCCAATCGTGCCTTTATCAAGACAGATCAGAGGCAGGAAAATCGTAAAACGTGCTTGCGACTGATTTAGACGCCGAATTAAAGCTGCAACAGAAGTGCATAAAGGTTAGATCGAACAAGCGTGACCCTCAGGAAGGACGCTTTTAACTTCGCAAAATAATTCATTAAATTAGATCAGCGTTTATTTAAATACAGTGTTAGAAGCAACTTGAAAGAAAAAATCTTAACCGATTACATGGTGCACTGATAAAACAAATTGATCAACCTTAGGTTGAACCACAGAACATCTTTCGACCTAGAATCTATTGTATTGTTTTAGAGGAAAAACTCAAATTTCCTTATTTATCGACCTTTTTTATTGTTGGGTTGCTTTGTGTGTTGGCATTGTTGTATATCATCGAAATCAGCTGTTCGTTCTTCCGCACTTCAAGATTATTCATCAATCCAATCTTTGTTGGATTTTTTTTTCTCACTTGCTCTATAATACCTTCGTATACTGCCTATGTTACTTTTCGTTTGACACTCATAATTTTTTTACTCAGAGTCTCTGCGTACAATTCCTTACCTTTTTTTTTTCTTTTTTCTTAGCTTTTCGTTTTATTCCACCGTAGTTTCCCTACTAATGTAGTTTTGCTTCCGTATGTCTTTGTCTTTCATGATATCTCTTTCATGGTTACGTTGCATTTGTCATAGTTTCCTCGTATTCTTTAACCATCTTCGTTATCAGTATTAGGTTTTTTTTCTATCATCATAATCAGCATTATTATTATTATTACCATTAACATGATCAATATTTATTTGTATCGTACCGTTCGTAATCGTATGTTCTGTTTTTATTTTTAGTGGTCTTTCGTTCCATCATTTCTTTTTATGTGCTCATTCTCTCGTATACTTACTCTTCGATCTCTACACTCACTCTAAATCTACAGAACTATATTAATAACAACAGTAATAGTAATAATAATGGTCATCATAAGCAATATACTTATCATTTCATTATACCCATGACCGTACCCAGTTCGCGTAGTCGTGTTTTATAGTTCACTGTAGATAATGTATGATTTCGCCTCTGCGTATGTAAACTTGAATGCTAGCATTGCAATAAACCTTTCTACCGAATGTGAGAGCGAAAAAAGGAATATCCTTTAGTTCGATAACAATAACAGCCTTGCTAGTCTCTATCGCCTTCTTCAAATGACTCTATTTTACCTCTAGTGCTTCACTATGCCACTCAATCGTCATAACAGCCATAAGGCTATCGTTGGGTTCTAATTCACTACTATCAAGAGCAAAAAACAACTTATATGTAACGGCAGACAAAATGAGCAGGGTTACCACTGTTATGGGTCAAGGATATGACAAGAATCAGGCTTCATATAGTTACTAAAATGTATGTCTGTCTGCCTGCGTGTACCAGTGAATACATCTAGTCTGTACATTGACCGTGTTGTAATGTCCTCATCAAAGTTAGATCTGTGTGTATGTATACTCCTCGACTGAACGAATCAATATTGTCACCGTCTGCGTTATACTACTATGTCACTTGGTCGTTAGTCAGTTGAGGCTATATTTATGTAGAAAAAATGACCTAAATCTATCGATTCCATTTTTGGTTAGTAAACAAAGATACTATGCTAATTTGGTTTCTAGAGCAAGGTCAACGTGTGTGAAGCCGCGTACCTAAGATAATCGAAGACTGCTTTCACTATTGATCGAGTAAAGTAAAATTGAAGTTATACTTAGGTAAATGTATCTCTGCCTCATGCTACTTACTTCCGTCTGCTGACTTCATGGGGTTGATTTCGTCGTAAATGTTATTATATATAATGCGTTCAGCGTGCTTGTCATTGAGGATCAGTGTTAGGACGCCCTATATGTCGGTATAATTTGTTCTCCCTGTTCGTACCCTTGTGACATTCTGCATTGCCCTTCATCCAGGAATGTCCTAATTTTCGTTACGTGCAACTTCGCTTAGCTACTCCCTGGTGTCCGCGTACCATGTTTGAGTCAATTACCTCGTCGATTTTATTCGGACAACACTCAATATTTTTCTGGTTACAATGGCCCTCTGAGGTTGCTCAGCTAAGCATAAGCAAATTGGTGGCCATCCCAAATTGCATTTGTTTTTTTTCTGCTGTTTTTTTTTTTCGCTGAGTTAACCACACTGTTAGCCTCGGCTTCGTCCCGTGGCGTATTCTCTAAAGCAACTAGGTGTCACCTGACTAGTGCGTATAGCTATTATTATTATACCCGCATCTTCCGCTAGTAACTTATGCTGTGTTTCATTTAATGTCTATATTCGCCTTCTAAGCTGATGCGTCCCCGCTTAGCCTCATTGGACTTTTCAGCCGTGTACCTCCGCACTATTACGTTAGCTCTATATAGTATTATTATTAAACCGTCCATATTCCCTTTCGTCAATCCTTATTACAGGTGGGTAAGACGATGAACGTTTCTTGTGTGAGTAGTTGCTATTACTTTCACTGCGTCCTCGAAGCTTTACGATTTTATACCTCTTTCATATCACCAAAATGGCATATCAGTACTTACGGTTATATATGTATATGTAATGTATAGTATATATTAGATATGTTTCGGAAAAATGGAAATTTCTAGACTAAATATTGTTCTCGATAGGTCGAATCAATCGACGCATGATCACGAGAGAGGTATTTGGTACTCAACACTTTGATCAAGGATAGTGGGACCCTTTACATCCATTGACTCATCGGCATCTCCAGAATGAACTATTAATTAAAACATGGTCGGCTAACATAGTCTGATAGAACAGCTTAACGTTTATGCTTAGTTGTAATTAGCTTGCAGATCTGCATCGACCCTCCATCGAAGGATGCTTGTTGATCCTTAGTGGGCCTAGGATACACCACATTTGTATTTTTATTGTCGTCTGCTGGGACACTGTTACGAGTTTTGTTTTATACAATTGTATTTTTCGCTTTTTCTCTAATTTCCCGCGAAAGGTATGTATGTTCCCGTTTTGCGGTTCCTCTTTATTTGCGTCAGTGGTTATGCTGGGGCTTCAATAAGTGTTTTTACTGAAAAAGTATTTTCTTTGTCATTTTTCTTGTTACTCACGGGGTAAGTGTGCATTTATTCAACGAGTATTGACTGTTATGCTGAAATCGTTATGTCGCAGTCAGCCTCCCGTTCATTTATCCAAGTCATATATCCATTCGTTTGAGGCAATAATACTTCTATATCTCATGCTTCGAACTGTTATATTGTTGACATAGAACACTATGTTTGTCGTCGATTTTTAGCCACGTTAGTATGTGATACTTTGCAGAAGATACCCGCATCGCATCGCTAACTCGCGCTATTTTAGGTTGATAAAACAACCCGCCACAATTGAAGCATAATATATATATATATATATATTATGTGGGTATTAATTAAGCAAATTATTGTTTTCCGTGAATTGTTGATAGGTCGTGGCAACTTGTTCTCGGTATAATCACCTATCATGTTTTCTTATTTTGTTGTTATTACTATTATTCATGTGTATAATTTTTATAATTGTGGTCAGGCTTGTATACTGTTCTCACTTGCGTCTGGCGTATGTTGAATACTATGTATATAGGTTTGCTATTGGTTCAGTTTGCCCATTTTATATACCGCTTGCTGAGTGACTTTCCATAAATGCTGCGATCCTTCCACAATCGGTCAGCCGGGACATCCAGTCTGGGCGTCTGCTTGTCTACGTAAATTTTATGACTTGCATGAAACCTTTCTTTTTGGAGCTAATGCAGGATAAGTTCACATGTGACTAGCATATTTACCGTTCACTGAAGCTGTGTCGTGATCACGGTAGACTTATTTTCTATCATAAGAATCATTAGTATGAGGCATTCATGCTAGAATGATTCACACTCATGTTCAGAGTTGTTTGTGACCTTTTCCTGCTTTTTGTATCTTCTTCGTCTTGTTTCAATGAAATTTTGCCGTCTCATTGTCAACACGTTGAAGGTTGTGGCGAAAATCGTCTACGACATACTATTATTATAGTACTATTATTATAGTATACTATCTTTAATATTTTCATTGTTATACAATCACTATAAATATGGCTTTTCTTTGAGGTAAAATCTCACTAATTCGAGCACGATAACATCACCTACCGCTGTGTTCCTGTGTGTTGACAACTTTTTTGCAGCTTAAGTTCCAGCAGTGCTCTTCCGCTCATCGTCGTTGTTCGCTACGTGATCGCATCCACCAGCTTCTTCTCGTCTTGGTGTGCAGCCTCACCGCGATACTTGTACCGCGCGACACAAAGTATCGCACCGTCCCGTACGACGTCTTAGGGACTTGATAATTGCACGTTGCACATTACCTCTTCAAATTTCTCCCCGTTATGAAATTTGTCATCGAAGCGGTGCGTCGCAGTATTATATTGTTTCTCTCGTCACTACGAACAAGCATTACTACAATACCTTTTCGTCTGTTTCGTGTCTGGTAAATGTCGTATAATAAATAGTGTACTTTACTTTACTTCAATCGATTACTTTTGTCTGCTGCCAGCGTTTGTTGTCTCACGGTTGAGTGTTTGTTTGCTATGTGTGTATGTCTATGGCCTGTTGTTGATGCTGTTTTTGGATACTTTCGCTACGCTAGTCGACCGTTGCCTTGAGCATACTATTCGTTCATTTCTACGCGTATTTGCTAGTTGTTTGGCAATATATCCAAATCATACGCAGAACATGATCGGAACAATGTAATTGGCTAGCTGAGAGAGTGAGCGGGCCGATGGGGAGCCTGATCAGTTCTCACCATTCAGACGCCCCGTCCATTCCCGGTCTATAGGCATCACTTTGTCATTAATATTTACTCATAATCGATTAAGCAAAGTTTCAAAGTTTATTTGTAAAAGACTTAATAAAAATTTTGCCGTATTTAATAGAAATCTCCTTGTCTTTCAAATAACAAAATGCAAAGTTCAAACGGATCTCTGTCGGCGTACACTGTACAACATGGTACTGTTGATAGTTGAAATGAAATTTATGGTCTTCATGAAATTCATATCTATGTTAATAACTTGTTAATAATTGTCACAATGACGATTTTTCATTTCAGCGAATAGTAAGAGTATTTTCTATGCCCACCTTCTTTCTTTTATATATGTGTATATATATATATATATATATATATATATATGTGTATATATATATATGTGTGTATATATATATA